GACACCTGCCGGTGTCTCATCAGGGGGATTCCACCATACTTCGTCCCTCATCGTCATCAACGATACACTAACCCACTCCCGTTCCCATTTCGCAATTGCGAGTACTGATGTTCCATGGGTCCGTTAGAACCTGAAAGGGAGTCCAAACTGATTGTACATCCTATATATGTCTACACCTATTGCTGACAGAACACAAAATGCGAAAAAAACAATAGTCCTGATGACTACTACGACGGGCCCATCTCGCTCGGTACACCCGTGCCATTGGTCCTTGTCTGACACAGGACCCGGGTCCACTGTCGAAGGTCGGCCCCACAAGACAGTTCAAGGAGTCGGTACTGGTTCACCTCAAAACCAAGGCCTATACTGGGATGTTTATGGACTCAGTCTCGGTCAACCGAAAAAGTACCAGACTGATGACATACATAGAAAAAACATGTCTAAATATAGCCGTAAACAGTGGCAAAACAAAGTACATGGTTGTAAACCCTGTGCCTTTTGTCTGTTTTGTTTTGTTTTTGTATTCTCGATTTTCGAATATAAGTAGATAAGAACTTTTGATTTTTGGTCTTAATTAGATAAGAATTTGCTGTTAGTAGAGAAGTGCATATAGTTTTTGGGTGTTTGGAAAGACATTAGTAGAGCATCCCGTGAGGCTGACAGCTTTGTCTTGTGCCTGCTTACTGCAGATATTGGGACAGGGTTTACAACCATGAACTTTGTTTTGCCACTGTTTACGGCTATGTTTAGACGGTTTTTTTCTGTGTATATCATTAGTCTTGTACTTTTTCAGCTGACCGAGACTGAGTCCATAAACAGCCCAGTATAGGTCTTGGTTTTGAGGTGAACCAGTACCGGAGCCTTGACGTTTGGGTCTGGGCGCTTTGCAATCGGGCCTTGGAAAATTTGGCAGGTACCCAGTGGCTGCATTTTTGAAATGGGAGGGTGCTCAGTAGGGGTATATTTGCCAAAGATGGGGTTCCAACCTAGCCTACCAGCCGGGCCGCCCGGGTCCCGGGTGGCCAGCCCGTGCAAGGACCAAAGAAGGTCCCAAAAAAAAAAAAAAAAAAAAAAATCTGAAAAATCCCAAAACAAACTATGTTATGCAGAAGAATAAAGTGAAAAACTTTTGCTTCAGGCTCACATCAAAATTCTTCACCAAATTTAAAATAAAAAATAAAATGTATTTATTTTTATTTTTATTTTTATTTATTTTTATTTTTTTGGCCCGGCCGGGCAAGTGACCCCGGGCCACTCTGGTAGCCTAGGTTCCAACCAACACTAGGGGTATTTCACAAAGTATCTTTTATGGCAGAGGGGCATTCCACTCTCTTCATATCCTTTCGGGGTATTTTGGCATATATCTAAACTTGTGGGGGTATTTTTCATATTGACCGAAAAACAAAACAAAACAATAAAAGAACATAAAAAACAATAAGGTAACTCATTCTGCCGACATTGCTATTCGAACCACCTCTTGTCCTGCAGTACAGGAATTGGTTTAAATTCTATGATTTGTTGTCCTATCTTGATCCTTACTTTCCCATATATCATCATGGGCCTCACCATACCGCTGTTGACATGTAAAAGTAAAAGTGCATTTTGCTGCAGAGAAAGACAAGATGCATCCATTACTATTCATAGCAACATGATGAATATTGTCATTTTCTCCGAAGATGCATGCACTCGTACTATTTCTCATTTCAACAGTGGTGTGGCGAGGCCCTATGCCTGCGTGAACTCTCTTAAAATCCCATCATTGCGAATTACTTCTTTGACTACACATGGCCTTTAACTGACATTTCGTTAAAACTGACATTTTTTTCTAAATTCACGAAATTGGACGTACGAAAGAAAACACTATTTTTTAGTGTTTTCTTGTCCCCATGATGTCGGATGATCAAATCTGTGGGTGTTGTGGCGATCCCCGATGATCTGCTCATTGGATGTATGTTAATATTACTTTACGTTGAGATACATTAGATAAACACTTGGGTGCTGCTTTCTAGCACGATCGTTAACATTCCGCGCCCTTCGGGGGCGTGGGCCCGTTGATGAATTTCATCAATGACTTGCCAAAGTGGTGGTGACTCGCGGAGGTTACAACACATTAACGGTCAGGGGAAAAAAAAAAAAAAAAAAAAAAAAAAAGTGGTTTGAGTAGTTTAATTTATAAGTCAACCCGATATTGGGGAAACTACGAGTGAGGTACAAAAATGAGTTATAAGTTATAATTGCACCAAAATACAATTTCAAGTTGCAGTTCGGGTAAGTTGTTTTGTAATCTTATTTGCATGATTCGTTATGGTTTTAAAGTAACAAGTCATTTTGTGGTCATCTTTGGTCTTCATGATCTCTTTTTATCCGGGTGACTATAGTGGGATTTCAAACTTATGGATTTTATTTTGTGAGTTTTTTATTACCTTCGAATTTATACAAGGAAGAATCTTCGATATTGTAATGAAATTTTATTCAAGAAATAAGTATAAGAAAAAAAACATGTCATATTTTGAATTGAATAAATCGAAAAAAAACACACCAGTCCAGTTAGTGAATTATCAATTCAATCAAACTCAATTGTCTTATGGTTGTTATCGTATCGCATAAGGCACAACGAACCTATCCTAATGGACTTGCAGCCACAGAGCTCAATCATTTTGGTTGTGATCTCTTTTTCAAGCTCTCAAATTGTACCGAGTCTATTGATTGTATTGTTCATAAAAATGCTACATATTTTTGAAGTTGTGATGTGGTTTACTACTTAGTAAAGATAGACTTAGATACTATTTTCCTTTTACCATAAAAGCTTCTGAAACCCGTTCAACTCTTTGACGGAGTGAAATCTTCCCAAGAAGCTTGGATATCGACCACCTTATAATACTTTGAGACATTGAATAGACAGTAGATGGGCAATTTTTTTTTTGTTTTTGGCGGGCATATTGTGACAATCTATTAGTGAGGTGCAACAAATGCAGGAAAACCGGACCCAACATCCTTGATGAAAAGTTAACAGATAATTGAGATACCAAGGTTAATGCTCAGGATTGCCTTAGAGCAAGCAGAGGTTTTGAGAAAGTCAGCTGAAGGATGAACAAATAAAGTTGTTGAGGAAAAAAAAATCTTCATGGAATAGATAGAAAAAGGGATAGGGAGCATTTTCTTTTCGTACATTGATTTGATTGTGTTTCGATTGATCCACTTCGTGGATGTAAGATGATACTGCCTCGACCAAAGCCAGGCATGGTCGCAATAGTACACAGGGCAAAGTCCCACTGGAGGAGGTTTTGTGCTAGGGTAAGGGATCTTTATTGTGTGTGACGTATTTTCTCACTACTAATTTAGAGTTATCATAGGGTTTATAGGCGGACAGGTCTTTTCACTAAGAAATCTCAGGTAAAGGCGTCCATAAATTGGTTTTCCATTCGTCAAATATATCACCAGACTCACCACATTTTTTCTCACAGGTATAGAGTGGTCCTCACTTGTAGCCCGACCCACATTGGGTTATAGAGGAGGACCACCAGTCCTATTTTTAGTAGCTGCTCTTAGCACTGTGGTACTTTGACGGACCCACCGGGATGGCAGGCCGTCAGGATCAATACGAAGGGATAAGGACGAGGGAGATCGAGATGAAGCTAGATGGGATAGCGCAACTCCGACTGAGACTCAACACGCATACACTCCAAACCATGCAGATGAAGAATGACT